TTCGGGCCGGGCCGGTTCGGGCCGGGCCGGTTCGGGCCGGGATGATGCGGGCCCCGGCGATGCGGGACCGGAGGCGCATCCCCGGGAGCGCCCGGTACCGGCGGCGCCACAGCGCCCCCTGCCGGCCCCGCCACCCCCGAGCGGCCCCCCGAGCCGGTCCGGCCGCGGGCGGGGATGCGGCGGCGTCCCGGGGGTGTCTGGGGTGTCCTGCTGTCCCCCGGTAACGAGAAACGCGTGGGGGATGTGCCCAGCCGGGAGGCACCGCGCTCCCCGCACTGATGCTGGATTGGGGGTGGGATGGTTTCCAAAAACGGGATGAGATGGGGGGAGTCGGGGGCTCTCCCGGGCGCTGCAGCCTGGGGCTGTGTGAGCAGCCAGCTCCGTGTCTGGGGGAGCTCAGCTGTGCTGCAAGCGATGCTGCACGTGGCGCTGAAAGCAATGCTGCGAGCTGGGCTGCAAGCGATGCTGCGAGCTCTGCCGAGAGCTGTGCGACCGGGAATGCTGCCAGCACTGCTGCGAGGGCCCCGGCCCGCTCCCACCTGCCCCGCGTCGGCCTAGCCCGGCTGGACGCTGGCCCGGGGGGAGGAGAAGGGCTGGTGCCGCCTGAAGGGAGGGCAGGACGTGTACCTGGGCCACAGCCACCTGCGTCTGCTGCTGCTGCTGGAGGAGCTGCTGCTGGAGCAGCTGGAGGCAGTGCTGGGAGGCCAGCGGGGTGATGGAGGCCGAGGAGCAGGGGCTGCTCGGGCTGAGCAGCTGCTGGGAGCTGGCCAGGTGGAGGGAGAAGTTTTCGGCATCCTGGGCACAAAGAAATGGGCAGGTGAGTGCATTGAGTGGCTCAGGCTGGGATGTGGGTTTTGGTTCCCCATGGTGCTGACCCCAGCACAGAGGAGCCCCTGAGCTCGGGGCAGACAGGGTGTGTTGAGGGGCAGCCTGGGGCTGTCAGCTCTGCACATCTGTGGGATCCCCAGGACAGTTTCAGAGAGGCTTCTCCCGGAGAGCTGGCAGAGCTGCCTTGGCTGTGTCTGAGGAGGGCGGGTCCCCAGGGCTCCAAGGAAGGACACAGCAGGGAGTGACCCAAACACTCCACACCTTTCCGTGCCCGGCTGCCCAGGCTGGGCGGTGTCCTGGTGCCTGGAGCATTTGCCAGCGCCTGCGACCACTGCCCTTCCTGCTGCTGCCCTCCTGTGCTTGGGCAGTGCCAGAAGGAATGCAGGAAAGCCCGGCCTTTCCAGGCACAAAAACGAATCCCATGGATTCGGGGAGTGCCTGTCAGTGCAGCTGTTTCCAGGCAGGCCCTGTGAGCGTTACTGTTGTGTGAGCTGAAGCGATGCCATTCAGGCCTCTGGGAAGCGCTCCCAGAGCTCTGTGGAGCACCCATTCATTAAGGTGGAACTGCTCCTGGAGCTGAACGTGCCACGGTGCCTGCGCTGCCAGGGCTGGGCCTCCTGGGGACATTGCTCCTTGGACATTGCTCCCTGGGCCTGGAGCACGAGGGGAGCCAGGGACTGCTGCCAGGACAAGCAACTGCTGCAGAGCAGCACTGAGGGCACGGAAATCCAGCCCGGGTGGGGTGAGAAGCCTGCTCAGCCATGCGCCACAGCTCCCACCCCTGCCTCTCGCCTCAACCCCCACCCCAGCACTGGACACGGCCTTGCTGTGGGTGAAATGGGAGCTGAGCAGGGAGCCAGGAGGGAGGGCTGCAATGGGGTCTCCATGAAAGCACCTCCAAATCAAGCCATGATACAGTGACCCCGAGCAGAGGGCCCTGAGCAGCAGCAGAGCACATGAACCGTTCTCCAGCCCACCCCCCATTACCTGGCCATTCTTTTCCCTCGAGGCTTGCCCAGATTTCAGCATGCTGAGGTCCCCCCTAGCACCTGGCAGCTCTCTGGGTCCCCTCTCGGACACACAGATGCCACCAGGATCGATGCCAACCTCGTCCACATCCGTGATCTTGGAGCCCTTTATCTGGTGAACTTCAAACAAGATGGACACATGAATCTGAGCCTCCCTTTCCCACCAGGGTTGCAGGCAGAGCGGGGGCCCCATGCAGGGCTGGGAGCTGGGGGAAGCTCAGGGACAAGGGCCAGGACTTGCTCCAAGTCTCAGCGTGCTGTGAAGGGCAGGAGGGAGGGAACGGCCTGGCCGAGGGCTGCAGACCCAGCTTGCCGAATGAGGGGCTCAGCCTGCCCCTCCCCAGCGCTCAGTAGGAGCGGGCAGGCAGGGCAGAGTCCCCATGCCCCCATCTGAAGGGGCCCAAAACTCTCCCCACGAAGGAGGTGCCACCCCGCATGTCCCCACCCCAAAGCATCCCCGCACCGCTGCCTCGGGGAGCGGCGAGCCCGAGTCACCTTCCAGCGGCTGCTCCTCGGCCGATTTGTCGCTGGCGCCGTCGGCCTGCCCGTCGGCGTTCTGCAGGGCGTGCTGCAGGCTCAGCTTGTGGCACACCTCGAAGGCCTGTCCCACGGTGCGCACCACGCGCATGGCCTGGCTCTGCGGGGCAACCCCGCAGCTCAGCCGCGCTCAGCGCGAGCCTTCCGCGCTCCCGCCCCGCGCTGCCGCCTCTCCCCCCGTGCTGCCTGCCCCAGCAGTGCCCCCCGTTCCCCACTCTGGGTCTGGGTGCTCCTGTCCCCGTGTGGAACGCGCTGCTGGGCAGGAGAAGCACGCAGCAGGCACGCTGTTTTGGGGACACCCAGTACCGGCGCTGCCTCGGTCGCTCCCCAGGACCTGCACCCTCTGTGAGGGGGTGCATCCCCGGGAGCATCTTACCTTCTTCTTGGATTTGAAGACGTTGCACCTGAAGGAGTTGTTTGCGCCGTCCCTTGCGATGTAACTGAATATTTTCAGGTCTTGCGAGTCATGAGAGACGTAGAAAATTCTAGGTAAGAGAGAGACAAAGGGAATTAATTAAACACCCTGGGGAGTCTCTGCCCTCCAGACCACCTCTGCTCCCGTGTGTCCCCAGGATGGGCTGGTTTGCAGCCCCCAGGATTAGAGGAACAAGGCAGTGCTGGTGCATGGCCCCTCCTGCAATTTTCAAGGCAGGAGGTGATGGATTTAGAGAGCGTTTCAGGCTTGATGGAAAACCTTCTGGTTTCTGAAGTAGGCAAAAGCTTTTTAAAGATCCTGTGGGAAAGCAAAAAAATCTATAGTCTTGGGAAGCAAGTGGCTATTTTTAGCCTCAGCAATTAACCCCTGCCCAGGCTGCAGCGAGGCGGAACTGCCTCCATGGTGGTGATTGCCCTGCCCTGGGGTCCCAGAGGGTCCCTCCTCAGCAGTGGACAAGTGGCACAGCACAAAAGCCTCTCCCAGGGATGCCGAGTGCACTCTGAGGATTCCTGCCTCTGCTGCTCAGGCTGACTCTCCTCCTTGTACTGCAATACCATTTTGAAGATTTTTATGTATGTTTGATTTAATTAGGTGAAAATGTGACAAATGAGCTCAGCTCTGAATAGACAAGAAACCAAAAGGATTCTTGAAATGGTTTTTTCCTTCTCCTCTTTCTGTCACTGGAATTTTTTGGGTGTTGAACTTGCAGTTAGAGCAGTTACTACCAATGTGCCACATGTTGTAGTAATCTTTAAAGAAAGCCAGAGGTGAGAAGCAGGCACAGATAATGCATCAGGACATCCTCTGTTCCTTATGTCCTCACTAAGGGCTCTGATCCCAAAAACCAGTGTTGGGGATCTCAGTTCTTGGGGCTGTGGGCTCGTGGTACAATAATTCACTTTGCAGATCCAACAGCCTGGAGCACCCTGTGCTCTTAACCTGTCCTCAGGCCATGCACCATCACTGGGGTTGCTTCCCATCCCCAGGAGCTCCTGAGGCACCAGGTTTATGCTCAGGGTAAACCTCTGGTGGGGCTTGTGGTCTCTGGAATACCTCCATATCCCATGGAAGGTGCTGTGGAAAGTCAGTGCTTTCTTGCCATGTCTGTAAGGGTTAATTCCCATTGAGCACTTACACCTTAGAGTAAGGCCCTGCTTCAGAAGCACAGGGAGAGGCATGCTCTGAAGGAAAACCACGGGAAGCCTGTCTTCAGAGGCAGAATCAGAGAGTAATCCAGGCTGAATTATCTCCAGGGTCACCCAGTCCAACCCCGTTCAAAGCAGAGCCAGCTTCAAAGTGAGATCAGTGCACCTCGCTCTCCCAAAAGTATGAAAAGGATTCTCCAGCAGCAGCAACTTTGTACCCTCGTTAGTTTTAGATGCTCCTTTGGAAAGCCTTGGTGGAGGGGTCTCAGCAGGTGGCAGGAAGGGCACTGATCCCCCAGGGCGGACTGGCCCTCCCTGCTGAAGCCCCTGGCACGTACCTGTACACGGGATCGTGCATCACCACCATCTTACTCTCGTCCCAGGTCCACTCCTTCCTCTGTAAGCAGAAATAAAATTACAGTAAATCAGGTGAAAGTGCAACTCCACCAAACTGAAGGGCAGGAAACCTGGGGAACAATGCTTTTGTCCCAAGCCACAGTCCAGGCTGCAGTGTGACTAGATGAGCCACAGCTGTTTCAACAGTATCTCAGATTAAAAATAGATTTCTTTTTTGATCGTTTATCATATCTGATCACAGCCTTCAGAGCTGAAAATGGTCCCTAAGATTAATTTATAACATCAAATATGCAGAAGAGTTACATGCTTTGGGGAAGAAGGCTTGGAGCTGGGGCTTAGGAGATCTGGATTCAGTGACTTGGTGGAAAGGACAGTTGGGCAAAGAGGTGAGGGGTGCTCAGACCAGGAAACCTGGAAAAAGCTTTCTTGTATTAGCAAGAAAAAATGTATGCCCTGAGAGATAAATTTTTTTTAATAGAAAAAAATCCTCTTCCCACAGTGTAGTATTCCCACTCTCTTTCCAGCAAGGTTTTGTTATTAGTTGAATGGAATCTGGAGTGTTTTCTTGTGCAAATCCTGGGTGTTTTTTAAGAAAAGGCCAGTTTTGGTTAGCAGTGTGACTATCCCTGGGCTGGAGCAGCCTCACCTTCTGCTTCTTGCGCAGGATCACCTTCACCCCGTCCACAGACACAATGATGCTCACCTTCTTCTTCTTAATGTTCTTGGCTTTGAATTCATACTGGGGGAAGAAAAAGCCAAGTTTAAGAGAGTACAGGGGGTACCTGGTATAGTAGTCAGTGTCTGACAGGAAAATGTCAGGTTTTGGTTTAATCCCAGCTGCTGAGGGAGGTGGGAATTTGTTTTATTCTGCTGAGAAAAACCATTTTGGGAAGGACTTGGTGCAGTATCTGGGATGCCAGGCAGGATCCTGGCTCTGTCAGGAGCATCCCTTGGGAGAGGACAAGTGGAATTGAAATCTCTGGGCTACATCCAGACTGTTAATTTGGATTTGGGAAGAGCTTTCCCCGTGCATTGGTCATGCCTGGTCCAGCAGGACTCTGCTCCAGAGGTCTGATGGGGAGGTGGCACCTGCAGCAAACAGCAAGCAGTGACATCTCTGGTGCCCTTGTGTGTCAGCACTGCGCTGCACGGGGAATACAAAATCACTCAGGAGCTGCAGGGAGGGCCAGATGGGCGGCAGTAACGCAATTATACCTCAGTCATTTGCATAATCACATTAACCTCTGTGGGATCAGGATCTCTGGAGAAAAACCCTGCAGGTGTCTGCAGCCTGAGCTTACCTCCATTTGTGTTAAAAATTAAACACTGACTTTTAAATGTTCTTTAGCTGACAGAAGCATGGCAGAGCCCTGCTACTCTGGAGACCTTTGTTTACAGCACTCATCCTTCCTACCCCCATTTGAAGCAGCATTTTTAGCTTCCAAACACAGCATTTTGATACTGCATATTTCTTGCAGTCCCTGTTTGAAATCCACCACTTTGTCACGTTGCTTTGGTGAATCAATGCAGACTCCGATTCGTGGATGTGGAGGAAAAGGCAATGCCTAGCAGCCTGAAATCTACCTAGGCCATGTAATTAGACATCTAATTAGAACTCTTGATTTCTTTCTGCAGTTGGGGAATGCAGGGTGCAAGTGAGATGTTAATGGAGTCCAGGCACCTCTTCTGGGATGCTGAAGTTGGAGGACTGTGTGTGGCTCTGTCACCCAAGCTCTGCAGACAAGGTACACATCTTTCCCATTCCTCAGCACCCATTGTGAGCCACACCAGCTTTACAGACAGAAAATTGGGTGACTTTCATTTTTATCAGGCTTTTGATGCTGCTCATTGAATTCTTAGCACTCTGCAAGGTTTATGGTATCAGACAGACCCCGGATTAAACCACAGCCTTTTGATCTCCCCATGAATTATTACTTTCAGACAAGCTCTTTTAAAATCTATCTATGGTGCTATTGCGTGTGAAGCTGGAACTAAATTAGCTATCCCCGTTTTTTATTTATGGGGAGGAGTGAGAGGAAGGGTGAGGTGGTGAGTGCATCCTGCAGGCTGCTGAGGGGCCCACGGGGCTGCAGCAGCGCCCGCGGGTCTGGGGTCAGGCAGATGGACTCGCCAGGCTCAGCACCTGAGAGGGCTCCCCAGCCTCTACCCCTCATGCTCACTCCCCCCAGCCCAGCTGCTCCCCCTCCCCTGTGCTCACCAAACTGTTTGTCCTTGTCTGCTCCATGAATGTCAATAAACCCGGGATAGACTGTTCTGCCCGCTAAAGAGCTGTTTATCTTTCTTTATACACAAATGGCTGGGAAAATACTAGCTGTGCTTTCCAAGAAAGAGCAATACAGTGTATTTTCCCATTGTAGCAACAGGGGTGCAATTACATTCAAACAAGGCTCTTTACTCAAAGGCTTTAAGCAAAGTCCAAGCCTGGATTTTGCAGAGATGCTTTTTCTTTCTCTCTTGGACAGAAAGGAACAATCGGGAGCAGCAGCAGCGAATCTGTGGGTGCTGCCAGGAGTGATGGCAAGACTCTAAACCCAGGGAACTCCAGCCAGCTCCCACACAGCAGCACCCCAGCCTGGCTCTCAGGCAGAGCTGTGCAGCACCACAAGCTGGATGTGGCCACAGCAGCCTCAGTGAGGAAGAAGTTTGTTGGCCCTTCCCTCTCCATGGAGCCCGTGGCCACTGCTGCATCCTTGCTGGAGCTCACGGCCAAGGCACAGCCCAGCCATGGCCTGAAAACAGTTAAAACTCGTTGGTCCCTCAAATCTTTTCTAAAGGGTGAGACCCCTGAAGCAGCAGAAGCTGTAGGATGTCCCGTGTCCCAGCAGAGGAAGCAGGAGCAGCAGCTGGGTGAGAGCACCGTGCCCCACGAGGAGGGCAGAGCCCCACGCTCACATTGCACCAGCTCAGCTTGGACTCTCTTTCCATCTCTCCTCAGAAGAGCCAGGTGAAACACAGCTTCAGTCATTTAATTGCTTCCTATCAAGCAGGAATCAATATTTTAATGAACTGTGATTTATATAAGGACAGGAAAGCACATGGGAAAAGGCACTCTGAGACAGCTGACTTTCTCCTGTGGAATTTTCATGTATAACCCAACCTTTATCCTGGCAGGAGGCTGCAGGCTGACCTGTCACTGCTGTCACTGACTAGTCACTGATTTTCTTCTTACTATTGAACTGACGGGATTTTTTCCCCCAGATTTGTCAAGGTTACCAACAAATTCAAACCAGGCTGCAACATTTCTCTCTGCTGCCTTCCATGATTCAATCATCATTCTCCTGTTGTTTGTGCTGTCCTATGGGGAAAAAGTTTTTGGATGCTAAGGGATCTGGAGTTGCCCCTACAAGTGGCAATACAGCAGCCTGGCAGCTTTCTTAACTATAGAGACAAGATAGGACATTTTATAAAAAAACGCAGGTCAAACAAGGGTAATTAATTTCATTTATTTTAGCAGTGTCATTAATTCTGCTGTGTTTGACCTGGAATACTTTCCACTTCTGCTCTTAAATCCCTGTGTTCAAGGCTTTGCCTTTCATATGGTCCCACACACTGCTGGCATGAAATATTAACTTACCCATGAGCTAAAGACTGTATGACTAGAAATGTTAATGGCGCCGTGTGATGCATATTTCATTGGATAATTCCACCCAAGCAGATATAAATTACACATGCAGTTACCAGCTTCCATCTGCTGATGAAACTTGGGCTAATGCACATTGGAAATCATATGCAGTTTCCAGCACTAGGAACAACCTGCCTGAATACAGTTATTCAAGGAAGCAATTCTTAATGTGATTAATTACTGAAGGTATCAGGGCCTTCATTATGCAAATGAAAACTGTCATAAAATAGAGAGTTTGCAGGTCTTGGAGGCAGTCTCTGCTTCCAAAAAATGCATCTTCTTCATTAACAAGGCATAGCAAGGCCGGAACATGCTCCTGGCCATAGTTCAAATGGTGTTTTAAGTTGTATTGAGGGAAATCAAAGCAGAGGCTCTGCAGGTTTTTAAAGCCAGAGTATGTCAAAGCCCCCAGTCACAGCTGGGTATGGACTTATTTGCATGCTCGTAGGAAGATGCCACAGGCTTGGAAACCAGCGACTCTTCCTGTGGCTGTAAATTCTCCATCCAGCCCTCAGCCTGCTGTCCTGCCCTGGCCTCCCCTTGGCCTCCCCTCGGCCCATCCCGGCCTGGCAGGCTGCAGATCTATGTGTCCATAAACAACCCCCAACAATAGCCTGTCCCAGCCCCTTCCCCAGCCTCGCCTTCCAGCCAGACACAGGGAGCATGGCAATGAGGAGCTGGGAATGAGCTCAGCTCTGCCCCGGGACTGACCGGCTCCGGGCAGTGCCAGCCCAGCAGGACCCCAGTCCCTGCATCCCACCGTGGGGGGAGGCTCCCTTCCCTTCCCTTCCCTTCCCTTCCCTTCCCTTCCCTTCCCTTCCCTTCCCTTCCCTTCCCTTCCCTTCCCTTCCCTTCCCCTGGTACTATTTTAGGATTAAAGCCACGATGAATCCAAGTATTTCCAGCTCAGGAATGTAATTAATTTCAAACCAGCTGACCTACACGGGGTGAGGACAGGGTGTTATCTCGGCTTCTGTTTGAACTACCCATGCTTGCAGCGCCGCCCTTGGAACCGATGCTCCAGCAAACTCCAGAGTTCTCCCAGCCAGTGGGGCTCAGCCGAGCGCTGCCCTGGAGCTGCCAAACAGCAGTGTCCTCCTCTCCCACACCCTCGGACCAGAGGCTGCTTGCTGCCCAGCCTCTGAGCCCCTTCAGCATCACGTCCCACCTTGGAGCTCACTGCGGCCGCTCGGCGCAGCCCTGGCCGTGGCTCTGTTGGAAAGCTTCCCTTTGTGCCCTTGGGAAGTGTGTGCCTGTGGAGCTGAGATCCCCGGGCATAGCCCGGGCCTGTGCTGCAGTAGCTGGGCAACACGGACACAAAAGCCACGCAGGAAGCAGCGGAGACCAGGAGTGCACCTCCTGCCCAGTGGAAAAATGAGAATTTATGATCCTTGGAAACATAAAACTGCTCACTGGAAAGCAGAAACTAAAAAGGGAGTACAATAGGCAAGGAGAATGCTGGCAGCGTACTCAAAGTCTTTTTTTCTCATTTAAATGAGCTCCTTCCACCATCCAGTAAGCTCTCTGTGGATGCTGCAGACCTCTCCCCAAGCTATCACGGGCCTGCTGGGTTTCTGGGAGTCCCTGGAAGGGCAGCAGGGAAATGTGGCCCCAGTCCATCCCAAAGGATCCCTGGCTGACCTTGGGCAGTGAGGATGCTGTCCTGACTGCAGCAGCTGGAGGATGATCACCCAAGAGGGACAAGGAGAAAGAGCTGGGTTTTGTCCAGGACTCCTTTGACACCTGAGGAATCCAGATTCAGAGCATTCTGATGGACATGGTAATGGAGGAACCTTCTTCTTCATCCTCCTTCTCCTCATTTTCAACAGATCTTATCCTTGGGAGGTCCCAGACTGCTGAAGTCTTGGACAGCCCTTAAGGATAACTCATTCCTTTCACCTTTAGGTGACATGGCAAAGGATGTGGCTGCAGTTCAGATATTTCCCTGTGCCAGTCAAAAGGATGTGGAGGAAAAAGCAGAGTTACACCCACAGGGGTGAGCAGGGCTTCTGCAGGTGGTGGGAGCTGGTGGGAGCCCAGGGCTAGCAGTGCCTCTTTAATTAGTCTTTTCCACCTCTGACAAACCTAATCTCTTG